CATAAATGTCTAAGAAAACAATAAAGACTAATTTATCCGTTTCTTTTTTTCTTTCTTTAGTGCTTTTTGTTTTTCTTCGACGTATATTCTTTGAATAAGTAACTGTCATTAAGATCGATCCGTGTTAAGCGCATCTCCTAGGAAATGCACGAGTAACGCAAGATAATGATTACACTTGTTCGACTAGAAAAAAATCACACATGGTAAAAGAACGAGAATGAAGAGTAGGTCAATGAGAAGATAAATTGAGAAAAAAGCGAACAATGAAGAAAAAAAAAGAAACAAACACATACGCATTAGATACTCAGTTATATACACACAGGAAGTGTCGGCAGACTAATTCAATTACATCTTAGGTTTTTTTTTCTTTACCAACGGTCGACAAATGAGTGATTCAAGCGATTTATACTAGTAATGTCCGATCATAATTGCATCATTACGCTTCATATTGTTGACGAAGATTCATTTTTTATTGCTCCTTTCTTTTTTCTTACATATATTTATATATCGATGTATGCGTTTGTTATTCAAGTACATTTATATGGGATTTATTATGATACAAATGGGTTCTAGTACTAAGACAATTGCTATTTAAAACAATGTCCGTCGACAGGTGTGATGAGATTTTCAATAAGTCGTCTTTCATTTACTATAATTTTATTTTATTGATGTAACGTTGTCATCGAATATTCGAACAATATTATAAGAGAACGAGAAAACGAGTGTAGCACCGTCCCTCGCCCATATAAATTAATAGCATCCGTTTGCTCGGCTAACATCGCCAGCAGGCTGTTCTTCTTTCTATCTTCCTCGCTGTCTTGCTGGGCCTATTTTCGCGTCTTTCAACGAAACGGACTTTGCTTTTGTTCTCTTCTTATTCTCACAGCATAGTCTTTACAATTGATCAAGACGCCGATTCTATTTTGTATTCATAAGATACAACAAAAAAAAAAAGCTACAATTGGTCTTGTGAAAGCATTAATATGTGTATATAAATGTGTGACTCTGTACGTGTTTTATTATTTCTAAATATTTCGTATTTCGGTTCGGCTATATAAAAAAAAAAGAAGAAGAAACCAAACAGTTAATCATCATGTCATTAGATGCTGACATCGATCAAGAATTATGTCCATTGACATTGTCACCTAGACGTCATTTTCTTATTGTTCCTTCATTTAATCCTGAACGTCGACATTCATGGGGAAATGTTATATTACGCCCATCACATCGAAATCATGTTGCTACATCAGCTATAACTATTACTGCCAATGAAGATTCTATTCGAAGGTGAGAGCTTTTATTCGTGACATATAACGTCAGGTGTATTGTCATGCACTTGTTGTTTATTAAGAAAAAATGAGAAGAGAA